TTAAAACATACAAGGTGTCCTGAATAATATAGATGAAGTTCACCAGTTTTTAAGATGGAGAAAACCACCTGTATTATGTCTTATCGAAACACATGCTACAGAAGACATCACTGATGGTGAATTACAAATTACTAATTATAAAACCTACAGATGCAACTCCAACTCCAGACATACTGGAGGTTTAGTGATTTATGTTTACCACAAAATACAGATCAAATTATTCGATTGTACCACTTTAGACTATGCATACTGGTACGCACATATACAGGTCAAATTATTTGGGAAACGTTATGATCTTTGTACTTTTTACCGTTCACCAAACAGTGATGCGGATACATTTTTGAAGAGAAATGCGAAGAAATGTGGGATTTTAGAAACAATATAATACTTTTAGATGATTTTAATTTAAATTATTATACGAGCCCCTTCCCACTTCAGTTGGCCCAACTATTGAAATCTTAGTTTTTTTCTTATCAAACACAAATAATAAAAATGTAACAGGGTGTTATAGGTTTAAAATATTAACAATGAATATTTTGATAATATATAGTAGAAAACACCAACTTTATCACTCCCTAATCAAAGTTGCAGGATAAAAATAACACATGTTGCAATTACAGCATATAAACCTATTTTCATTTCAGTCCAAAATAAGTCTATAACGCATAGGTAGCTGTGAAAAATAAAAGCAATGACAATTGTTTTTATTAATCACAGCTGTCAGAATACGTTTAAAATAGTTTTGGGTAGTTAAGGTTTTCAAAATGGGTAGAGGAAGGGTTATTAGTGAGAAAATTCGGTTACTGATAATTAAATTTTTTAATTCTGGGAAATCAAACTCAGAAATTGCAACTTTGTTAGACTTATCGCGGTACAGTGTGAGAAATATTGTTAGAAGATATAACGTAACAGGTTCAGTTAATATTAAGCCACGATATGTGAAAAAAAGTAATATCACAAATTCCGACCGAAGAGCATTCAGAAGAATAATCGTGAAAAACAGGTGTGCCAATTATTTACAATTAAGTGCTCTGTGGAGTGACGCTGTTGGAAGCAGAATTTCGAGGTCCACAACCCATAGAGAGGCCCACAAACTGGGATTTAGCACTTGCAAGGCAAGTTTTCTTATAAAAAAAAGTGAATTAAAAACCCTAAAGTTGCGCAACTTGTTTATAGGCCAAAGAAAAGCCACTATTAACTCCACTGCAAAAGAAAAATCGGCTTAGATGGGCTAAAGAACATAGACAATGGACACCTCAACAATGGTGTGCAATACAATGGAGTGATGAGGCCCGATTCGAAGTTTGTGTTGGTGACAGTCGCAGTAGAGTTATTCGCAAAAAATGAAGCATTCCATGTTGACTGTCTGAAGAGAAAAGTGAAATTTCCAGCATCCATTATGGTCTGGGGCAGTATGTCATCAAGAGGAGTAGGAAAACTTCATTTTATTGACGGAAATGTGGATACAAACAAATATTTGGCAATTTTAGGAGAATCGCTTTTACCAGTGATGGAAGAATGTTTGACATCCGGCCAAGATTTTGTGTTTCAGCAAGATGGTGCAGCGTGCCATACCTCAAAAAAGGCTATAAAATGGATGGAAGAAAATAATGTACCACTTTTGAAATGGGTTTCTAGCAGTCCAGATCTGTCACCTATTGAAACTTTGTGGCACGAGATGAAAAAGGTTCTACGACAAAATCCTGCTCGTACAATCACCGAACTGAGACAAAAGCTTCAAGAAATATGGGATTGTTTTACACCAAATTTTTGCCAAAACTTGGTTAACACTATGCCCCAAAGAATTTCAACCGTAATAAAAAATAAAGGTGATGTTACCCAATGGTAATATTTCAATTGTTGCTTTGTTAACTTCGCGCATTTATTCGCACATTGTTTATTTGATCAGACGTTCTATTAGTTTTAGGTCTAAGTGATTTCAAATATGTATTTTTTACGACTAGTGTGTATCTAAAATGTTTTTGAGAAAATAAATTGTTTTAGAAGTAAATAGTTTCGTCATATTTAGTTTATAAAGGCATATTTTGAAACAAATCTTGAAGTGGGCCAACTGAAGTGGGAAGGGGCTCGTGGTAAAGGCATGAAAACAAGAAAATTGAAAGAAGCCGTAAATAACTATGGGCTCAAGCAAAAAATTGAAGAGAGTACCAGAATAATATCATTATCAGAGACTTTGTTATATCTTGTTATTGTACATTTCGAATGTGTATGGATTAGAGCTGTACATACCTGTACACCTAAAGTTAGTGATCACAGTTGGACAATGCTGCCCTTGGTAGGACATTTTTCTGATACAAAATTAAGAAAATCGTAAATACTATTAAGTACGAAAAACTTGAACGAGAACTTGCTGGCTGCTATTGGAATTTTGGTGAGAATATGGGAAAAATATATGACAACATAATAGGAAATATAAAAACTTGTTTAGATCTTGCAACTGATAAAAAAGTGATTTGCTCGACAAAAAATACACCCTGGTATAGCAAACATATTAAGGCAGCTCAAAATTTGAGAGACAAACAATACAATAAATGTATACTCACAAAATCAAATGATGATTGGGAGGTATATAAAACTCTTAGGAATAATTGTGTGTATGTAATTAGAGAAGAAAAAAGGAAACTCTACGATAAACAAATCGATAATAACAAGTGCGACAGTATAAAGATGTGCAAAACTTTAAAAAGACTATTCAATTCGAAAACGGTACCGAAACACATTCTTTGGAGATTGCAAACAAACTAAATGAATATTTTGTGGAAAGTATTGTTGATATTGTGGGTACTGCCAATGCTGCACCTGCCTATGAAAATCAGTTTCCAGGGGGAAGTGTTGCATACACTTTCAATATTTCATAGCGTATCATTGAATTACCTAAGAAAAAAAGTAAACGGTTTAAAATCAAATAACAACTGTGCCGAAATCACTACTAAAAACGTGATGAAAAACTGTTTCGAAATTTTCGGATATCCTGTATTAAATTGAATCAATTGTTCACTGAGAAGCAGCTCCTTTCCTGAAAATTTGAAATGCTCTACAATAACACCAGTTCCCAAAATAAAAGATTCTAGATAAAGCGATATGAGACTAGTAAATGTGTTACCAGACATTGAAAAATTATTGGAGTCCGTAGTGCATGACCAATTAATGCAGCTTATAGAAGAAAACAAAATTTTAGTGGAGGCGCAAGCAGGCTTCCGAAAAAAATATTCCACAGAAAATAATTAGATTTTTGAAAGACTGCAAATTTTACAAAATAAGTGCATGAGAATAATACTGAATAAAGATAAATATACTCCAATTTGAAAAATGCTCAGCAAATTAAAATGGCTCAATGTATTTTTTTTTATCAAATATCTTTTAATGATATTCATTTATAAAGTAAAAAATAATATATTTCCATCAAGTCAAACTAATTTAACATCGTCAAATGTCGACCATCATTTACATAATACCAGAAATAAAGATGACTTCCATTTAATGACCAAAAAGTATAACATATGCTACAAATCTGTATTCCAATCAAGGGTTGATTGAATATAATAAATTATACACAGATAAAAGACCAGAAAACTTTGACAAAATTTAAAGTAAAATTGAGGAATCACTTGTTGCCCAGCATTTACATCATACATCATATGGCTTGAATTTACTAATTCTAAGTTGTTTACAACTACGAGGGATGTCTTTTAAGTCTTGCCTATGGGAGTAAAACAACACGGTAGGTAGTTTTAAATGACTTTATTGTTTTTCGGAGAACTCTCCACGGCATCTTTGAATGCGTCAACTGCTTCTTCTGGTGACTGGAACCTTTGACCACGCAGTCTGTTGTTAATTTTCGGAAAAGTAAAGAAATCGTTAGGACTCTTATCGGGACTATATGGAGGATGGTCCAATAATTCCAGGTTTTCTTCCGTTAAATACTGCCTTGTTTTTTGGGCTGTGTGCGAGCTTGCATTGTCTTGGTAGAACATGATTCTTCTTTTGGGGTTGATTTTTCGAAGCTCGGTGATGACTTTTGGCAAACAAATGGTGGTATACCAATCCGCAGTAACAGTTATTTGCTCATTAAGAGGAATTGTTGCAACACTTCGAGAACGGATGACTTTTGTTGGCTTTTCTTCACCTTGGAACACCCAAACAGCCGACTGTCGTTTATTTTCTGGTTCATAACAGTAGATCCACGTATCATCACCATTAACAATGCTGTACACATTTTTTGAGTTTCCGGAATTGAAACGGTCAAGCGTTTTTTGACACCAATTAACCGTGGCTGCTTTCTGCTCTTCAGTCAACAGGTGGGGTATCCAACGAGAAACTAATTTTCTTTCTCCTAATTCTTCATGTAAAATTTTTTGAATTGAGGTCTTTGAGATCTTCAAGGACCCCTCAATCTCGCGATATGTCACATGTCTATCTTCAGTGATGAGTTTGCGCACAGCATCGACGTTTTCCTAGGTGACTGCCGTTTTTTGTCCGCCCACCCTGGGATCGTCGCTAAGACTCACCCGTCCACGTTTGAATTCTGCATACCAACGGGAAATTGTCGACTGATGTGGCGCTTCGTTGACGAAAACAGACAGTAACTCAGCAAGGCATTCTTGTTGCGATAATTGTCTCTGAAAGTTGTAATAAATTATGGCGCGAAAATGTTCTCGGTTGAGTTCCATTTTTCTAATTACTTGGTGACTCTTAAAAATTCACTGTAGTAAGAGTATTGTTGTGAAACTTTGAATTTAAGTTTACTAAAGAGTGAGGTTAAGATTCAGTACTGACGTTCGATCCGCGCGACCTACTATGTTTCTATATGCAAAACTTATAAGACATCGTATTCTGTTTATCTAGCCAAATGTGCTAAATAAATCTTTCTACTACTACTACTACTACTACTACTACTACTACTACTACTACTACAACGTTGTCACTTTGGCAGGCAACTGTAGTCAAATGTTAAAGACGCAATTTTATCCATATTTCAGGTATCAGAGAGGCAGATTTCAGTATACAAATCGAACGACTTGAGCGCTCCGTTAAACACGATAGGCTTAGATGTGTCTCCGGCCATATTGATACCTTTTTATGATGATGACAGTTCTACTTTATTTGTTACTGGCAGGGTAAGTATGAAAATTATTTTTGGTATATTCGAAAAATTGAAACTCAGACTCGGCACAGTGGCCTTTAAACATTTATAACAACCTTTGTCATCGTATATTCTTTTTACGGGTGGAATTTATTTTTATCATAACAATAGGGTTTTAAGATTGGTTAGTATTTCATTTGTATGTTAATCTTTTTTTTTTTTTGAGGATCGCACCTGAGCGAGGAATGAAACGTGTTTATTTTCCATCTGTGATCTGTTGACAATGCTAATAGGTATATATTTTATTCAATTTTCGTTTATTCTTAGGGCGACTCTACAATCTACGCATTCGAAATAACCGAAGAATCGCCTCATATCTGTCCTCTAAGTCATCATCGTTCTAGCACTTTGCACCAAGGGCTCTCTTTTCTCACGAAAAACATCTGTGATGTTTCGAACGTCGAGTTTGCGAAGGCTTTGAGGTTGACTAACAACTCCATCGAACCGTTGTCATTCACTGTACCAAGAATCAAGGTAAGATCTACAAGATATAATATCTTATATAATAACTGTAGGAAACCTAAATATTTACAAGCAAAAAAGAAATCACGCGCTTACTCAGGTGAGGAAAGAGCATATGTACAATTTTTATCTGAACAGAATGACGAAAAAAAGGCATGGATTGGCTTAAAGCAGCTAAATATACATTCTCGGACAAAAACCCCTCTTCCAGATAATCTATCTGATCCAAATGAAATCAATGACTATTTTATGTCAGTTTACAGTACAAATAATGCCTCGGAAGAATTATGCCACCTATACAAAAATCGTCACTTCTTTCCACCTGATTCTTTTTCATTCAGAATCATTGATCCTTCAGAAATTCTACAAACAATTAAATCTCTTATACCAGATGCCAAAGGAATAGATGGTCTTACGCTAACTATGGTAAAGCTAAGCCTACCCGTTATATTTTTCCACTTAGTTCACATTATCAATCTATGTCTTGAAACCGGTAACTTCCCTAAAATTTGGAAGCAAGCACTGATAATACCTATAGCAAAAACTTTGAAACTCGGTCTCCGACCAATCAGTTTACTACCTATTTTGTCAAAAATCCTTGAAAAGATTGTTCAACTTCAACTTACATCCTACATTGAAGTACATCAGATCCCAGCTAATCAATCGGGATTTAGAAAACATTACAATACAACATCGGCTTTATTAAACATATGCGACAACGGCTTTCGTATTCTTGACAAAAAAATGGGTTTAGCTTTAATATCAGTCGACTACACTAAAGCCTTCGATAAGATACATCATAAACTTTTATGCGCTAAGCTACGTTCTGTTGGTTGTGATGAGGTTGTAATCAAATTTTTTGAAAACTATCTTAAACAGGACTCAATGTGTTTCAGTGAAGGGTATTACATCTGATGTCACTCGCATACAGTGCCGAAGCGTCCATGTAACCATTGTTACCATTGGTAACCGTTAAAAATCTTAAAAATTAATATTTTATGATTAAGTACTGTGAAATAATTTCATTTATTTGTTTACCAACAGCGATATGTAATAGTAATTCAGTAAATAGCAAATTAGCCCCACGAAAATAATGCGCCCTATAGTGTCTAGGTTTTGCGAACACGATGAAGCTGACTCGCCTCTACTTGGTTGTCGGTTGTTACCATTTTCATTTGTGGATACACTTGGTAGTCTGTCGGGGACCGTCCTGTACATGTGAGATGTGTAGCCAATTTAATTCAGTTTGGCAAAACAAGAATCGAAAGTTGTCTAACCAAGCTTTTAGGCAGCACACTTCTAGATACCATATGTTTTTGGCAAAACAGGAGTTACCGTTCATTGTGAAGGGGATGACTCTGACAATAGAGGAAATTACAGGGAATTGATAAGATTCATTGCCAAAAAAGATCAAAAATTTTCCGTACATCCGTACGTCGGCTGTTTTTTCGGACGGCTTGGAAGACATAGCATGAGGTATATCAAATGCCCCAGCCGCTCAGTCCAGGAATGTTTACATTAATTTAAAAATAGTTTAAATAAAATACCTAAGATAAGCAAAAACTTATATTTGGAAGGTTCAAAATAAACTTTTTTTAATAAGATTTTTCACATCTGGTTTTGGTAACAGTTTAGGAAAAGTCATGCGTCGCCACTGCTCGCATACCTTCAGGGTTCCATTTTGGGACCTATTTTGTTTTTAATATATACATTTGACTTTCTAGATCAGTTTAAAACTCTGATATTCACTCACTGTGCAAGTATTACAAGCAGATATTGATAGTCTATGCAAATATTCAGCAGATCACAACCTTAGCATAAACCCGGAAAAATCTAAGATTTTATTGTTTTGTTCAGAGAGCAGGAGAAACGACGTTGTTTCGCTCTAAAATGTGAACATAGACAATAAGCAGCTCGAGCTCACCAATAGCGCAAAAATATTAGATGTAGAAGTTGATAGACAACTAAGATTTACATGTAAAAAATCTGACACAAAAAACCTATGCACGTTTACGCAGTCTTTATTCAAACAGATATCTATTAAATTTCAATATGAGGAAAAAACTTTGCGAGACCTTCGTTGTGTCTGTCTTGAACTACTGCAGTATTCTATAGTTTCCCTGTTTGGATCAGATCACTAAACACAGAGTTGAGATAGCTAAAGTTTGACCAGTTGGTCAAGTTACATTTTTCCACATCTATCCATAAAATTTTAATTAATTTTAATTCAGAATACCTATGTGCAAAAATAATTTTTAATAAAACCATTCACGATAGAACTATTAGAGACAGGCACGTTATCAGAATTCCGAAGCATACAACATCTCTGTTCCAACTAAGTTTCTCATATAACGTTGCAGCAATATATAATTCTTTGGACAGTAAATTTAAGACCATGGGTTTACCACGTTTCCGCTACAATGTTAAGTTTCATAGATCTTTTGAGAGTGGCAGTATGTGCACACAAAATATCTCATTTATCACTTTTCATATGGGTTATAAGTGATTTGTTATATATATATATATATATATATTGCGTTATACTAAGACGAAGCCTGGAAAACGCGAGAACGTTTCTGGATTCTTCGATTCGAAGATAAATACACGCACAGAGTTCAGAGAGCGTCAACCGACAGCAGATGCTGAGCCAGTAGCGCGAAACGCGAATTAGTGCCAGAATAATAAATTAGACTAAATAGTAAAAACGATGTTACATTATGAATGCGAAATTTGTATTTTTTTCAGACTGACCTCTTCCAAGACGATCTATTCCCAGATACAAGTGTGACGTGGACACCAACGTTGACCAGTTCAGATTGGTTCAATGGAAAAGACAAGCTGCCTGAGAGGATGAGTTTGAAACCAGAAGGCATGGAGCTATGTAAGCTTTTGCATTTTTTTAAGTGAGGTGTGTTTATGTTATAATGTCAACGTTGAATTTGCAGTATCTGAATGTCAAGGCCAAGCCAACTCAGCTCCTGAAAGAACGATCAATAAGTCTGCTTCCACGCCTTACATTGGAGCGTCTGCCAACAAAATGAACTGGGATAATGATAGCATAAAAAATAAACAGGAAGAGGTAAGCAGGATTTTAAATTAAAATTCGCGACTCGAGCTCTTGCAGCGTGATTTTTATTGCCTGACAAATTTTTCCTACTGATGACTTAAAATAGACACACGCTTGAAGAAATGTTCGGCGCCCTCATCTTTTTTAGATGAAAATGATTCATCGATGATTCTTATTGCAGCTAAAAAATTTGGTTAGCAAAAAATTGGAAATAAACCTCACCTTAGAACAAGACAATATGGAAGGTGTGGACGAAAAAGAGTGGAATGAGTAATTTTGTATATCAAAATGTGTTTCGCGCAAAAGTTTGGTAGGCTAACATTAAATATACACTAAATGTTAGATTTCTAATGAAATTGATTGAAAAAGGAATTTCGGATGTGTAAATTCAATTCCCAGTGTAGATACGTTAGCTCACAGAGTGGAGAAACAATTTTGAAAATCCAAGACAATCTGAATGTTTTAACTTTGCTAGCATTTTTTTATATGATTACAAAAATACATCTACAAATATTATAGATTCAGTATTTAGGGAACGTATAATTAAGGATTTTAAACTAAATGTGTTTTTTGACAGATTTAAATTATAATTCCTATAGTCTCAACAGATCTGACATTGCATGTGGATTTTCATACCACTGCGTTTTATTTCTCCTTTCTTTAATAATTTTTAATACTTTGTTTCATTATTCTTTCTTTTTTTTTGTTCACCAATAAACTACTAAAAGATAATTTGGCTCTTCAAAATTGTTTCCTAATCTCCAAACAATAATATAGGTGTACTAGTTTTCTCTACCAAGGTTTTGCGTTAACTATAATATGCTTATACTTATTGATGCTTTTACAATTTATTTATTCCGAAAGAAATATCGTAAGTGTTGACAAATACTTGTAAAACTTATATGCTTTTTAATATATTTTTAAATTTTGATATATTTATACAACCCCGCTTTTAGAACCTAAGTAAGTATCTATAAAGTTATGGATATTTTACTCGAAATTTATCCACTACTTCCACTGCATGAAAATGCTAATTTGAGGCAAACTTGCAAATGCGTCTACATACGTTTTTATTCCTTCCGACCCCAGATGCATTTATACACGATTCCTTATTATCTAATTATTATATAACCATACTTTTATACGTCCTGCAATTTTGATGTCATAGAAATCAAAACTCCTCCCTATTGTTTTCAGTGAACTTATGATACCACTCAAACTTGAAGGAAAGCTAAGTGCATCCTCATTTTGAGTGAAAAAAAAACACAACTTACTCGGTTACCTGGTTGTGAAACAATCTGTGGTGTTTGAGAAGTAAAAGTGGGTGAAACGTGAGAGATTATATTTTTAATTCTAGCCATTTACATGGATAAATATATTTATTTGCATACATACAAAGAGATAAAAGATTATATCAATTAGCGTGTAATCAAACAGTTCAACCCACAAGAATCGAAATTGCTCGTGGGTGATGATTTTTGACACAATATCCAACGCATAGATGCTGCTTCGTGTATTCTCGTAGGAAAAAAGCAATATTGCATTAGATGTAAGAATATTTAGTTATAGGATAAGGATCTTCTCTTGATAGAACGGGTAACTCGCATCACAATGACGTTAAAATTAAGGAAATGGTGTAAGAAAAAGAATCGCAGATGTCTTGCTATTTTGAGAAAGATCCTAGTTAGGTTCACTATGTTCAGTAAGATATCACGACGTTTTATCTAGATCTGAAATGGATCAGTATTTATTTTGCTACTCTTGATGTTCCTCCTCGACATGCCGAAATCTCGAAGGTGTAAGATCAGTGTATATCACTTAAATCAAAAGCTAATCTTTTTGTTAGGGATTAACTAATTGTTTTAAATCCATTTAGAGATTCTAAGATTTCCTGTCTCAAAGCAATTCCTTGTGAATCACCAAATTTATCTTGGTATGTGGGAGATGAAATGCTGTTTATACAGGGTGTCCTGAAAGTTCGGACTTTCCCATTCAGAAGCAACCTCGTTTGAATTACCAAAACTAAATTGACAGCGAAACCATAAAAGAAAAATGAAGAAAATGAACGTTTCGAAAACACAGGATGGTTAACTGCTTTTTAAATTTGCATCATTTGAGCCTGTCAAGGTTCTCTACAGAAAAACAAACCTACGCAGCTTGAGAAAGAAATATCCAGGAAGGCAATCTGAATACGTTCGCGAAGTATTATAGCATCTTGATGGCAGCTTAAACTAATCTATTCTTGAAAACGAGCGAGTATTACCACTAGGAGGTAGTGGTTCTAGTGCCTTTAGGGAAACTGCGTTTCTGAGCACTAACAGAAGAGTCGCTTCCGCAGTAATTCACGGGAGAAAAAGTGCAGTAGTTTTGCCGTCGTCCATCAGTTTGATTTCTAAAAACTTTGTGATAAAAGGTTTAATGGTATCAAAAATACACAGTAAAAGCTGTGAGAAAAGAGAATACTTTCTATCAGCTATTCTATTCGCTCATTTCGAGAATAGGGTCCCAAATCGAAAACGTCATTGCTACAGGAAGGTGACAATTTCGGTTTTTCAAATCCAAATATCGTACGTTCCGTTTTTTATCGTAATGTCTCTGTTATCTTGATATAACTTGAGACGTGGTGATTGTCGTCTAGACCAGTTAGGTGGAAAAAATAAAGCTTCCGCCTTTTGTTGGGTACTTCGACAAAATTCAAGCAATGAGGACTCTTTATACTTTATTAGTCTCTAGCTTTCAATGGACTTTGCCACCTTCATCAGGAGCTGCAATAACATTGATAAGAAATAGCAACTATTGTGCAAAATGATTTTAAATTAACTTACAGTAGTATGTGAGATTGTTGCTAAATGTTATCAACGTTTAAGTTGAGGGAAACACCCAGTAACCTGGTGAAAGCTGGATACATGGTACATTCGTCAAAATTAATATAAACTAGGCACAGCTGTAAGTCAGGAACAAATTAAAACGGATTAAACGATGTAATTTTAACTTTCGTTTTAAATATTTTTAATCGGTTTTAATTTATTCCAGACATACGGCTGTGTGTAGTTTATATTAATTTTGACAAATGTACCATGTATCCAGCTTTCACCAGGTTACTGGGTGTTTCCCTCAACTTAAACGTTAATAACATTTAGCAACAATCTCACATACTACTGTAAGTTAATTTAAAATCATTTTGCACAATAGATGCTATTTCTTCTCAATGTTATTGCAGCTGCTGATGAAGATGGCAAAGTCCATTGAAAGCTAGAGACTAATAAAGTATAAAGAGTCCTCATTGCTTGAATTTTGTCTAAGCATCCAACAAAAGGCGGAAGCTATATATATATATATATGCTCTGTGAAGGAAAGTCCCAACTTTTAAGGACACCCTGGACATATTTTCACCGATTCAGGTTTTAGTGCCACTTGAGTAAAATATCTGTTAGGATGCCATACTTTTTTAACAACAAATGTGGTAAACATTTAAAGTGTTCTCCATGGATCTCATTTGATATACAATATAGATCAAAGGTAATTTTAGTTGTGACGTTGTTAATACCGTTTACAAGTTTGCCTCAGATTACATAAGAATTTATTTGAATTTACCGTCTTATTTATCTGTGACACACCCAGTAAAAGTTTTTACTAAATATAAAATACTTGGAATTTTCATACTTATTTGTAGTGACGTATCTACACAGAAAATCGATTGAGAACCACTTTAGACTGACTTTGTGCCAAAATTTTCATTAATTACACATGGAGTAATACATTTCACTGTGTTTTCACGATTAATTTGAATGGAGGATTGCTCAATGTACAACTGTGTTACAGAATTGTGTCATTACCTGCTGCAAGTAATGCTTTCAGAATTACTCTAATAAAAATACATTATTGTACTGCGTTTTTTCGCGTTATATATTTTAAGATTGCAGATCTATATCGTTTTGGATCCACATTATAAATAAAAGAAAATGGAAGTATTGGATAAAATGCTTTAATTTTCCATTGTTTTGTCGCACGTAATCATTTCTCCTAATGTTGAAATCGCCATGAACTGTGCTTCCTAAAATATTTTTTACGTATTTTCATATTGTTTGCGCATACAAATATTTTAATTCATGGTGGATCTCAATCTTATCATTGACATCTAGTCAGTATTGCATGCTTTAAAGTATAATATCGATCTCCCATATATAGCCAGCTAAGCATTCCAAAAAAATCCAGTTACTCAGCTAGGAAAATATTTTTAAGTCTCGAAAAGGATACTGATGGTTTTATATTGTGATTTCTTTTAGACAGAGAAAACCTCGCCTTCGTCGAAGAAATTTGTCCTAAGTTCTTTTAACAAATGACAATATTTCAAACTTCTGAAATTTTCCAAACGCTAGAGAGACGCGCGTATGTCTCATAGTATTAATATCAATTAAGCCTAAAATACTTTTCAGGATCTTGGCAAGCTCAAAAAGGATTTTTGGCCATTTAAAATGCCCATTTTTAGGGGTTTTTGGACTTTAAATCGCTCAAAACTCAATAATGATGTTCAACTATAATAGACAAAGGTATTGAGCGCCTTTTTTGAAATTCAAAGATTCATTCATCATTATATAAAAAATATCACAAATTGTAAATATATATATATATTACTATATATATATATATACATATATATAATACTATAGATAAATGAACAAGCCACAAATGGCATAGGAAGTAATTTAAAAGTAAAATAAATTCATGCATTTAATAATAAACTTGTGATTCTCTGGGCGTAGATAACATTTTAGTTTTTATATAGGTAAAGCTTTCACCCATATTTTTTCTTTTCTTTTAAATAAGCAGAGGCTTTAAAGTATTCTTATATGTAGAGGTACAATATTGTATCATTTTGTGCGTAAGCTGTGACATTCGATAAATTTTGGATGGTTTGCTGCGTGTTGTTCGGAATGGTTCAAAAAAACTGAAAAAAACCTGTCTGGAGCTTTGAAAATAAACGTGACTTATCTATAAACAATGTTCAAATTTCTCCGAATTCCGTCCAGCAAACTCTTGATTCATGTTAAGGGAGAAATTTCTGCTGGGAATGCGAGGTTTTTTCTCGTCTATTTGTAGTAAGCAGTTATTGATTTAATTTTTTTTCAATTCAGTATAAACGTTTTTATGATATATCTTGCTCAAACAAGCTATCAAAAGTAGTATTCTATTCCGGACTTAATAATCCCGTAGATAACATAAATAGCACATTACGTACCTTGGTCGAGAATTATGCCTACTATGACAATAATGGAATTTTCCACTGAGGTATGTATATCATTTTTTTCATTACTAACTACGATACATTACTACATTTAATTTGATCACACTTTGAAATGTAGCATTTCTGAACTTCGGGCAACACTGTCCGTTTAAGGCACACTAAATATTTTAATCGCACAACGTAGGTACACGCTGCTACTAATGATAGACTCCAACAAAAACGGACATTCAATATTCATTACCAACTCATTTTCAAATACTCGCAATTGGTCAAGTAACAAGGGACTTTTCAATCAACAATCAACTGCGATTTCAGTTATAGGTGTATTGACTTGTAGCACACAATAATTATTAGGAATATTCAAAAATAGATAAAAGATTTCACAGCAGTGCCCGGCAAGCCAAAGAAGTTTCACATGAATTTTTCATTATTATGTATGTTATGTAACTTTTTGTTAGAGAAACGCGGTAAATAGTGGCGATTTCGCAGGTTGGTAGTGAAAAAAAAAATAGTTTACTGTCTATGAATTGCCTGAACACTGGGTTACATTGGCAGCCTGTCTTGACTGAAGCGCCCAAATGACACTTTTGAACTATTCATTTTATTTTGCTTTTACTTTAATCAATGTATACTCTGCCGCAATAGAAATTTGGACGCTCCATTTTCCGATCATGACAAAATATATAGTAATTATTATATATAGCAGGCTAGTGCCAATAATATTCTATCACTATGATGTAAAACGATACAAATGCTCATACCAGACTTTAAGACGCTCAAAAATAATTTTTTTATGAACTAAACATGTGTATTTTCATGAGTTTAGACGTTTTTATTATTTGTATTTTTAATATCTAGATATTTATTTCTATGTGCATTTTATTTGTATTAGTGTTGTGAATGTAGTGTACTTTCTTACATATTATGAATAAATGTAATGATTATATCAGTATATTTTTATGTCCATAACAAGTATAGGGCACATAAATGGGAATACGCAAATATTACGGAGAATAGTTATATTAAGGAAAACTCAATATACATATATAATATAAAACTTTTGGAGTATAAATACTAAACTACAATGTGTAGCTGCCTACCCTATCTCTCGGAATTAGTCTTAATTCAGAGCCATGCTTCAAAAATACGTTTCCTGAAAAAAAAAAGAATAAAGAAGCACAATTACCAGAAATTTCAATACTACAAAAAATACATTTTTAATTTCTTATACAGGGTGATTCACAAGTCGTGACCAAAAATGAAACATCATACAAATTAAATACGTGTGGATCGTGGGTGATTGATTGCACTGAGGAATTATCACTCGCGTTTCTATTTCTCTTATAATCGCCAAATAATGTTAGAGAAATACTTCAGTAACTTTTGTAGACTAACTTTTATTGAGACATCAGCAACAGTTGAGAACAGAAGAACAAGTAACGAAATGTGTACAGAGAATGGTCAAAGACTCTTTTTATATTATAAGATTACACTTACGAATTTTCCAGAAATCGGTAGTCTCGGGTAAAAATGCAAACATCACATCCTGTCTCACGAGTATGGGACGGTCTTATACTCGTAGGGACTTAGATGGTGTTAATGCTTTAAGGATACCATAACTTACACAGTACCGCATTTTAACGGGGGTCTTCTATGTGATATTTTGCCCCGAGGGCTTCATTAAACAGATACGGGGTGTTGAAGTTTAAAAATAAAAACTTTTTTTAATATCTTCAAAACCGTCTACTGGAACGAACTAAAATTTGGTATGTGGATTTACCTAAGTATTGTCCACAATCAAAAATCTTTATTCAAAGTTAACGTGCACCTGTGCCGGAGATACAGGGGATCAGTGGCATTATTTTTCCAAATAAAAAAATAATTACTTGTTTTTTCATAAAGTGCATTGGTTTCGTGAAAATTAAAAAAAACAAATTAGGTAATCAAAGCTTTACTTCAATAAATGTTCAAAAACACCAGCATTCTAACGCATACAAGTGCGGCATCTTTTTAATAAAGAAAAACGTATTTCCGCAAAATTTGTTGTCGCTTGAATTTGGAGAATCGTATTATCTATTCTTTCTTGTAACTGATCAACAGTATTAATTTTTGTCAGTTCTTGCGAGTGACTTCCGCCTTCTCATATGTGCTATGCTCCAAAACTAAGTCACCTTCATTTCAAAATTCTTACCAGCCGTTTGCTGAGGATTGATACCAACACCATCATCTGTTATAATTGCGGATGTCGCTGGGGGTACTTTGAATTCCTCGGCGGCGAATTTCAGTACCGCCGTGAAAGGTGCGCCATCTGGTACGCTTAGTCTGCAAAAATAAATATTTTCAGGCAGTCTTAAGGCCCACCTGTCTATCTACATGCCATAAGAAAGTAATGGGTATGGTCTGTTTGTAACTAATGTTAGATTAGCCATGTTTTTAACTGGTCAGGCCCCGTGTGAACATGGCATCATTTCCGTATGTGCTAAGTATCATGGCATCATTTTGAGAATGAAAATCGAGTTCCTGATACTGAAAGAAGCGGTGGTATACATATAAAAATAGTATCAGTCCTATTCTCTTTTATAATTGAAATTCTTAATTTGCTATTTATCTTTGTTTTTTTCTCCATAAAAATATTTCAGACATATGAGGTCAATTGAAGGTGTACTATATCCAACATCTTCAAAGATTTTATATTTTAAGGCCAGTTGCACCTGAATAAAACATTCAATTTTCAAAATTCATTTTATTAATATACATATACAAAATGGATAAATTAATCATAACACAAAAATACTGTATAATTCTTGAATTCTTCTCCATGCACAATATTAGAATATAGTCCAAAAATGATATTATGTATAAAGAATATATTAACATAAAGATATTAATTCAGATCTCTTTTCAAATCATCCCAAATATCTGAATCAAATTCACTTTTAGCATCAGATAATCTACCTATAACCACCTTTCTAACTTTTTCATCTGCTTTCACTAGACTATTTAAAATCTGAAATATATCATCATATCCTATTTCTGTACAAAAAGATATTCTAGAATCTGTTTGCCAAACACCTTGACACGCCTTATTCATAAGACTCCCAGTATAAACAACAAAGTTTAAGAGTGATATCAGAAAGTCTTCATTTTTGGCACAAACTTTTATTAACAATGTTTTATCTACCATTTTACATAATGCTATCCAAAATTCCTTACTAAGTAAACTTCTATCCAACAGTTTATCTAAAAGACTCTGTAATATCAAATGTTGTGTAAAAATATCAGATTCTTTGATATCATCTATTGAGAGTACACCTATCAGTATGGGTAAAGATGAAGTGACTTTATATGATTTTAACATTTCTGCAATGTTGTTTTTGACTATATCTTGTTTCTTGGTTTGACATAGATGAGTCCAATGTTGCAGTACTATAGCATATTCCAGTTCTTTTGGGTCAGAAACTATTTTTACAAAATCTGCAACTGCTTCCACAGAACTTGACTGGATAATCATTTTTGATAAAAAGGACCTGAGCCTCTCTTGCTTGTATAAGGATGTGTATACTCTTATCGCAATTTCTAAAATATTCTCGGGTATATTTTCCGTCTTGAAAAATAATCCTAGGAGCTTATCACAGGCTAATTCAAAAAAACATTTATCGTAGATTTTATAATGGTTATTTGTTTTCCACCATTTCTGCAATATTATATTAAATTGTTCTAGCTCATTGATTCCAAAGTTTTTAATAACTTTTTCTATGAATGATCCTAATTTGAAAGCAGTTTTTATCTCTTCAACATTCGCTTTTTTCACCCAATATGGATTTTCTATGAGGTGTATGAATTTATCAAAGGAGTTCAAAATCAGGGTGATATTTGACTGGGCATTTTCTGTCATTGTCATCCCCTATGGTAGCTACTGAGTGACCTGCATTCTTGTCATCTGCTAACAGAAATAAAAAAGTTATAAAACAATGCAAAAACTGAAAATATGAATGCTGCATCACTAATCATTGAAATATGCTGATTTGATTCACATGGTTAGCGTCGCCGGTACTATTTATACAACTCACGTGCTCGCATGGAATAGAATTTTAGAATCAAAACTGCTGTCTACACATCACTGAACAGTAACTACCATAGCAATTATCTAAAGGATCAATTAAAATACTTACACTTTAAAGGGTAGTTTTGGGTCTGAAGTAAGGGTAATTTTGAAAGTTACTTTGGATCTGCAAAATAAACATATGGTCCAAAAAATAATTCATTATATTTTTGTAACCAATACAACTTACCCCATTATAAATGTAAGAATAAAATTACTTCTTTTAGAATGTGTTTAAAGCTTATAGCTATTTATCTCTACTGAAAAAGAGATATAAACCTATATTTTGAATATTTTTGAATTATTCCACCATCCATAAGTCAAAACAAAACGTCATGTTTTGCCTTGCCCTTGACTTGACAAGTGACGGGAATTTGACAGCAGAGGTGCAGATGCTAGAGCCATCTTCAAGGCAACTGTATAAGCATTGAATTGCTGTCAAGAAAACTTCACTAAGCATTCAGTTACTAGTTGAAAAGGAAATGTAGAAGCCTCTACTTATCGATGTGACCAATTTTTTAGTGAATCCACATCATTTTTACTGGTCTACTGCATCTTCAGGATGACAGTTACTACGAGTTCTCCATCCACCATACTGCACGCCAGAGGTCTCTACAAGTTTCATTCGATAGCTGCCAGGGTAGCATGGCGTTGCCAAATCGTCAACAGCTATTCTGACATTTAAAGAATTTGCATCATGCATCTGGTTACTCATAGTACAGATAATTTATAGTATTCAATTTCCAGGTTTGACTACAGCAAAACAGATAAGTCACTGACGTCGTAATGTGTACGAGGATGAAGCGCGAAAGGCGAGCAATACGTATGTTAGGAAGAGTGCGCTGATGGCAACGTGCAAGCCGCAGCTGCGTCCGTGGTCTCCTCACTCGGGTGGTGCGTCAATCTCTTTCTAACATACATACTCTCTCATAGACATTACGATGTTAGTGGTATATAGATTTCTCTGTACACATAATATTGGAATGTTGTAGCCAAAGAAGTTTGTGCATGTGTGTATATTAATGTCTTCCTAAATATACTTAACTGAATCGCAGTGTACTCAACTGTCGAAATGAGGGCGGCTTCTATTTGCCGCCATCCATCTAGTGATCCTAGCGAGAGTGTTGTACACTATGAGTGCGGAACTAGTTGAGTGAATGTTTTTCCAGTTTTATTTAATAGTCAGCATATTCTACACGGGGCATATGCCACTGGCGTGTGTTTTTTACTGCTCAGAACGGCTCTACATGGAAATAATTTTTTCTCCCTGCGCTTTGAACAGCTGGAAAGTCTGCTTCAAACTGCTTGATAGGGTCTATAAGCTATGGGCGCTCAAGAAATTTCGTGACATCAGCTGATGCCATTGAAACGGATATTATCGTTTCAAAGCATCCACCTTAAGACAGATCCGCACGGGTATCATGTAAAAAACCTACAAAACGTCAAAAAACCTGTAAGATGTCAACTTGCAGACTAGGTAGTTTTTAGGGCGCAAACAGTAATTCAATGTGTATAAAATCAGTGATATTTGCTGTGTGAGAAATCATTACTGAGTATGCCGAATATGACGGGTAATTTATATGTTGTGCTTTCTGAAGAGAGGTTCTGTTCAAAGTTATAAATTACGAAAAACTGAGGAGAATTACGGGAAATCATCGCCGCACCCGCGTTGTGTGTAATTACCGTTAGCATGTATATGGCTTGTAATTCGACAGTGTACAGTGAATATAATTATTTCTTATGTTGCCTCATGACGTTTAAGCAACACGTACAACTAAGGCCCGTATCGTCAGTCGTCCCTACAATTGTAGGGCGCCTTTACGGCCTCCTTGATTGTCATAGTTTTCTACTTCTCCGTGTCAGAACTCTATTTTGAGGTTATGTCACAAACATCTATTTGCATCAAATTGTGCTTGCTTTTGCGTTATATCATGTTTTATCAGCCTGAAATTTCCTACAATTTAAAAAGAAAACATATCTTCACAATAGGAGAGCGCTGACGCTAACACGGGACAAGTGTAATCTAGAATTTTTTTAAGGAGAGACAGGAGTATGACAATCAAGGAGACCATAAACGCGCCCTACAATTGTAGGGACGACTGACGATACGGGCCTTAGTTAACATCTTGTAGAATGAGCTACATAATGTCAAAAAACCAGCATGAAGTCAAAAAAAATCGGCATAATGTCACTTTTCAAGATACGTGATACCCGTGCGTTCGGTACTCATGAGCGCTGGCAAGGTAATGTAGGGCGCGCTGCCTCCTCTCTTGTGAGTCACTTTCGATCTCAAATGGAGAGTCTAACTTGACTGACCTATTAAAATTCAGGAAAAACTTATGCACTTCCCAGACCCTGTGGCAACACAGCAAGTCACAACAGAATTTTCTATATTCTCTATGTATGGTCTATGGTGAGTCCGTGAGTGTATCAGTGCATGCTGCTATCATTTCTGTAATTTTATATTTTCATATGTTTTAGCATAGGTTCCATTATTAAAGGAACTTATTCGAACTTTATTTTTTGTTGTTTTTCCATTTGTTTTTGTTTTAAGTGCCTTTTGGGACATTTGCAATCGAACGATAGTAGGTCCACCACGAGGTAAGTTATTTCTATATTACCACGATCATGTTACGTATTGCACTCGTATGTAATTTCGTGCATATATTGTAAAGTGGCAATTATAGCTATTTGTGATATGATTACGATAATCTCATGTTTGTTTTGTGGCAATTCACACTGCTGAGACAGCTGCCGAAACTGGTTTAAATATGGATGTATTCCTTTTTTTTCAGATCGTGTAAAGCTTGTTGGTGGATACGTTTCAGGCAGATTTTACCGAATCTAACCATTTTTTTCTGGTTTTCCGTGAGGTTATCGTCCAGAAGGGCGCTAATATTTTATATGACTTTAGTAAAACACAAAGGTAAGTTTCCAACATGCATTTTTTCTCTAGACTATTTTTGAAAACTGCATGCTTCGCCTACATTGTATGTTGTATGTACTACATGGATACACTATTAAAGTTATAAATAGTTAATGATAGCATTGAGTGCTCCATATGTTAGCTGAAATCAACTCCCAAGTAATATATACATAATTTAAAAAATTTGCAATGTTGCAATTTGTCATTGTCATGCTTAGCTGAGCTAATCTTGAAATTTAATAACCAATGCAGCATCAATAAGCTTTAACAAGCAAAAGCTATGTATTTAATAATACAATCACTATGTTTACATATTGGATTTATGTAGGAAAGGAATTGATTCAAAATTCCTGATATAAACACTCAAAGTCACTGCTCTTAGAGCCAATTTTCGACAATAGGTGAGATTGGATTAAGATTTGAATTTGTCAGTATAAAATGTTAAGCCGATTTTTGAAATTCTCAGCACAAGTTCACACAAAAGCAAATGTCTGTCATCTTCTCAATCACTGAAAGTAGAGGATTGTAGACCCAATACAGGGTGCGGCAGAGAGGATGGACGTTTTTGGAATGGGTAGTACTCTCCACCTCCGTCTATGAGAGAGGTGGGGAGGGTTCTGTTTGACTCGTGAGATCCTAGCATTATTTTACCAGTTATCATTATGGAGCCTTGGATGGTGGAGCACCACGCTTTCGCCTATGAGTGACGAAGCCCACTTACACCTAAACAGCATGGTTAACCAGCAGAATTGTCGTTATTGGGCTAATGAAAATCCGCAACAGTTACAGGAAAGACTGCTGCACACCCCAAAAGTAACGGTTTGGTATGCTGTATCGCAAACTTGCATCATTGGCCCTTACTTCTTCGAAGACGGTAATGGTCGTGATGTTACCGTGAACTCAGAGCGCTAGATCGACATGATCACCAACTTCTTTCTCCCTGAATTACGACGGCGACGTGTGTGGTTCCAGCAAGATGGGGCGACCACCCGAGCATCCATGGACGTTATTCGCCCTCTCTTCCCTGGTCGCCTTATTTCCAGGTTTGGCGATGTTCATTGGCCTCCTCGGTCCCCAGATTTATCCAAATGCGATTTTTTCTTATGGGGACACCTCAAGGCTAGAGTATACGCGAACAAGCCACGAACTCTGGACGAATTGAAGTGCGAAATTCACGTGGAAGTCGCCCAAGTTGAGAGAGCAATGTTGGAGAGAGTCTATGCAAACTTCCAAGAACGCCTCCAGCACTGCATCAACGATTTCGGCCACCACATGCCTGATGTGATTTTCCACACTTGACTGTCTCAAATGCTATTTCATTGTGAACCTGATTCCATCAATAAATTTGTTTTCGAGTAAAAATTAACTATTTTATGATTTTTTTAAAACCGTCCATCCTCTCTGCCGCACCCTGTATAAACACCTCTTATTAAGATAATCAAAATCTTGATCATTTTCTTTGTAAACATAGTGAAATGTGGAAAATGGGTAACCTTTCCATTAAACCTGTGGTTCTCCCATCACTTTTCTATCAAATTGGTCTTTTTACTATCTATGATTGACATTTTTAACCCCACACAAGCACTGCCTAGTGGGAGCAAAATTAGACATCTCTGAAATTCTTATTAGATTTCTATTAGTTAAAGTATAAATGTTGCTAATATATTAAATTTTGAGTCTTATGTGTCCATAAAATTGTATTGCATAGCAGGTCTATTTATATACCAATTAAGAAGAAAATGTGCAGTTGCATTAACTACATGAATTACCAAACTCATAGCAAAGTGAATCAAGAGAATCAAAACTACAGAATTTTCAAATAAATTCATAGTGAGGTCTAGAAACATTTTGTAAAATCTGTGTGCTTAAGCTT